GTGGTCACCAACCCTCCTCCTGTAAATCCACTTTCCCGTAGAGTTTAATTCCAACCTGCATCTAATAAGCTGCCTCCACTTACCTAACACTAACGCATCTGATCCAGCCAAGCAAGGATCTCTGAATTAGAACAACACTGTTGAGACTCTCAGGGCCAGATGTCCATGTGTGTAGTCATATGCAAAAGCTTGAACACTGAAAAGGGTTTAGCCAGTCTGGGTTACAAAGAGTGTGATCGGCTTGTGCTCAGTATATCCTCACCCTTAGTTTTTTTGTGTTTAAATCATTTACTTTTTACTTTTATAGATTTGAGGTTGTTTAAATGCGGATGCTTTTTCACTCATATAATTTTGGCTCCATACTTCCACTTTTATTTGAGTAAGATTTTAATACAGTTCACTTGAGCACAGCTTCTCTGTACTTTGTCCACCTCTGACTGTATGTCAGAATAATGAGCATGAACAGACATTTGGAACTGGATGTGGAGTCCTGGCAGAATTCCATATACAGTACACCTGGTGGTACAGATTTTAGCCCCTCGTCAAGAGCATTAAGACATGCCTGGATTTCAAAGTATAGCCTGCCACTTGCCTTATTTGCTCTTTGAACCAGTAATTCTTGGCCTGTGAGCTAAGTTTCACAGACAAGTTAGTGTTTCAGGCAAGTTTGTGTATTTTTACAAGCAGTCATTCAGAGTTTGTCGCCAGGTCAAGTCTGGTGCATGTGTGGCAAGAGTAGGCATAGAGCCAAGCCAGGATGTCCCATCACAAAAGCAGATGGACCCTGGCTCGGGTTTACTTATTTTCCACTGACGCGTAATATCCTGCATGAGTTTGTATCCTGCCAGGTCAGTACTGCTGATTTGTTTTACTAAAATTCAGCATCACAATGTTTTCCATGTATATCGTGGTATAAGATATTTTAAGGTACATTAATGAAGTGAACTCAGGCTTCCTGAGTACAGATACTCTGTGCTAAAAGAGCATCTTGCCAACCTGACATAGCTTGTTTTGATTGGGTTGTTTAGTTCTGTTTTCACCTAAGGAGACCTAAGGGGAAGGGAAACTCATGCAGCAGTGTAAATATTAACCAGAAGGAAAGCACATTTCTAAAAAGGAAACTCATTACTTATTTAGATCTTTTTTGTAATTTGAACTGTTTTTCCAAAAAACCTTCAAATACTTTGCAGTGAAGTTTTTATTAGATATAAACACTAGCGTAACTAAAAAATCATTAGATTTTTGTAGGTAGGCTTGTACTGGTAACAGAATCCTCTTATTCACATAACCATGTGGAAAATTTACTTCAAGGTTTTTTTCTTTGTTTTACTTTTCTTCCCTTTATGCCCACAAAGCATTTACACACTGTTTTTCCAGTAATTTTCAGATGTTTCATAACGTGGAAGTGTACATAGGAGCAAGCACAGTGATTGTATGTTGGTGGAAGCTTAATGTTTTTAAAATGAATATAATAAAAGTGCAGTAAATGTGGTGGTTGTAGCATATTGTCATCTTGAATTGGACAATGAAATTGTGAAACTGTAATTAAAGCTGCATTATGTAAGATTTTTTGTTAAAAAGAAGTAGCATTAGTGAGTCAGGAGAAAAAAGCACTAAAATATGGTGTATGGTTCATTGCTGCGGGTCCCTGTAAATCCTAAATAGTAATTTTAAAGTGAGAAGCATTGAATCACAGTTTTTCTGACCACATCATACATCTTTACGTATTAACAATATGTAAAGTAGATAATGAGAATATGACAATAGTAGATAATTCACTTATTATCTGTGGAAGACGTACCATTCATCAAGTTTTGACAGACAAACAATGTTACATGCATTTAACATGCAGTCACCAAATCTCCAAATCTTACATAGGGCAGTTTAGTAGAAGTTGTTGTAATGTGGTTGTAGTATATATTCTATAGTATAGTAATATAGTAATCTTTAATTTTGGTATGAAACTGTAATGAATCCATTAACAAAGTATGGCGTTGTACATGTCACACAAGCTTCACCATACAAGCCCATTTTGTCTGTAGCTATTTAGCTTGGTGCTTTTTGTTCAGGGCCATTTTGCCTAATATTAAATTGTACAAGGGCTGAGAGGCCGTAGTGTTTTTCCCAAACCCAAGTACCAATTTTTCTAGTGCCTGAAACCTGATGCTGTGGTCTTACAGAGTCTTAAAATGTACACTGTACTATAGTCAGCTTTTTGTACAGGCATGATATTTGCTTTCTGTAGTGGCACACGCCTCTGAGCATGTTCAACCAGTGCAGCTCAACAGCCGTGTTTCAAGAACATTTTCATCTGTGCTGGGTAGATTAAATGTGGTAGTACTGTAGGATTTCACATCACACCATGTTTAAATGCTCAGTTATGTTCACATGTGGGAACACAAGTGTCTGGCTTGAAATAACTTGATAAAAGAACAACATTTGTTTAAACCAGCAGTGAAAGAGTTTTAACCATTATTGTGGGCTGTTGCCATGGTAACTCGATTGGTTGTCACTGAGCACAGGCCTAGTTGGGTGACACCAATTCTGATGTAACAAAAATGTGACAGCAACTTTTAATCCTGTCAGAAGTTGACACGTTATCCTTGCAGGGTCATCTTTTCATTTAAAACTGTCAAGCTAAAAAAGCAGACACTAAAAATTACTCTGTAAAATACACAATAAATACAATACACAAAAGTGTATTGCACATTACAGTAGTTACCTCTCTGTGTTTAGCCTAGCGGCAACTTACTGGGTTTTTTTGGTCAGTGATTAATAGGTGTAAGTGATCAGATAAAATGGCCAATGAGTGTAGCTATAAGATGTGTGTACAAACCGGCAGATCTGTGCCTCTAGTGTAGTGTCTTACTATTTTAGATTATTTACTTTGCTAATTCTTTGCTACAAGTGCCACAGAGGTCTGACTGAGCGGTCTGACGTAGTGTGGCTAGGCCAACTATGATAGCTGAATTAAAAAAGATGTTTCTCTTTTCTTAATGTTACCTCCTAATAAACACATTAATGAGTTTTTTTCTTCTACTGAATTTGTTGTTTAGCTCTGCAGGATAGATGACTGACAAAGGTTTAGGTAATATTGTGGCAAGCCTCAAACCATAAAATGATTCTCAATGGCTGCCACTCAGAATGTAAACAGTACCTAAAGAAGTTAATCTAGTGATATTTTTTGTTCCGTTTGAGCTGGCTACATTCTTTCCATAGGATAACATCTTTCTCTATGGCCTAGCTCTCTATTGGCCATACTGCTTTAGGCAAGCTTCAACGGCTAATGCAACTTTTGACAACATCGTCTACTTTCTGGTACAGGCAGCATACCACCCAGCACTGCAGGTCACTTTAGCCATTCAGTTTTAAACAAGACGGTCTGTTCAACGCTCATTTGTTCCTGTCTTGCTACGCTGTTTTGATATTACACCCCTCCCCAGCGGTTCACCAGCTGTGCTTATTCACTCACTGGAAGTGGAAATGTATTTTAAACCTGTGTTTGGGTAACTGATTGAGTCCCACGTTGTTTAGGCTTTTACAGCAGAAACGCTGGAGCTGGTGCGGCTGTGGACAGTTCACGAAGACGTGTTCACTCCACGTGCGTCTAGTACAGAAGCAAGAGAAGAATACACAAAGGAGAGAGAGAGAGAAATAGAAGTAATTCAGAAATGGAAAGAGCTTGTTCAGCACATTTAGGATGGAAATGTGCATTTTTTCCTGAAGTATCAGGAATCCGCTTTGCCCACAAGTTCGGTTTCAACTCCATACAGTATATACTCTTGTTCTCACTTACAGTGTCTCGATCTTTCTTTTTCCCCACTTCACTCTGCTTGACACCGCCAGTCTGACTCTTGCTGAAGTTCCTGGAAAACCCTTAGACGTCAGAATACTTTAATTTTGCTATATGTTTAAATGTCATTGTACCTGTAAAATTGATCTTGGTGTTGAACCTGGGTCTTGATCATGGTCTCAAATACAACAGAAGTGATGTATATATACATGTAGTACCAGTAATGTTTTTTTTTTTATTAGCGATACTGTGTATTCTTGTTTCAACATTAAACTAGCTAACCCGCATGGCTTTACTGACGTGCAGGAGCTGGATGCCGTGCATGCCATGATATATACAGAAGCATGACTGGATGTCTGCAAAGAATAGCGTTCACTGAAAGGCTCTAATTCCATAATTACATATTTACACACCACGCTTATTATATATGCCTTCATAACCTTCTGTCTTGATGATTGCAGTTTACGTTTTTGCAGTCTCCCCTCCAAAATGGTAAACAAAATTCAGTACATTTAAAACTCAGCTTTATATACAGCTAAATGCAAAAGTTTGGGCAACCCTGATCAAATTACATGTTGCTTTGTTGATTTTTGGTGACACTTTATTTTTAATAGTCCTTTTAAGATGAAACAAACATTCAGCGGACTCTCAGTAACATCTGAAAAACATATGAGGGTTAGATTAGGTTTTGGGTTGAGGTTAAGGTTAGGGTTAGGATTAGGGCCAGGATTAGGGTTAGCTTTTGGGTAAGGTGGTAAGGTTAGGTTTTGCGTAATAGAAGTATCATTAACAATACATCTATTTAATGTAAGTAATGTATCAACAGTACATCTTCAATATATTTTCTTAAGGGTACTAAGATGCCTCACTATTGCTACTTCTACAATATATTGTTGATGTGTTACTAGTAGTCTGTTAAGAGTTTATTAATTATCTACAAACGACCACTCCATACTTTATTTCCTGTTTTTTTTGGGGTTTTTTTTTTAGTGTTAACCTCAGCAAATACATAGAAATTGTGCACAAAAGTTTACAAAAAATGCTATATTAACATATTAACATAATATGCTATATTAACGTATTCCTTACACGTGTTCTGTGTAATAGATATGTTAGCTTATTTTCACTTAGAAAATCAATAACAGTTTACAGCTGTTTGATGTCTCCGTTGGCCTTCCAAATGACTGAATATATTCATTTTCTGCAGCTGATAAGCCGTAAGGACAAGGCAACTTTTGAGAAGCTTGATTTCCTGACCTCAAAGGAGGAGAACTACACCCGTATGAGAGAGTACATCAGGTCCCTCAAGATGGTGCCCTGCATCCCCTATCTGGGTGAGTCCACTATCTCAGAACTAAAACTTAAGCTGGTCGGCTGTGAACTCAAGCTGCTTTCAGGAATGTTCTGTTGACTGGAGTGCTTACTGTTCTGTATTACACAACAGCTAGTTCAGACTGTGACCTATAGCAGTTTAAAAAGCATTTTTCCCATGTTTTTTTATGCACTGTCCAAAAGTTTGTAGACATCTGCTCATCCAGTGTTTCCTCTGAAATCAAGGGTGTTAATAGGAGGTTTGTCCCTCTTTACTGCAGTAAGATCCTGTACTCTATCACTCTATGTTGGAACATTACTTTGAGATTTTGATTTCATTCAGCCACAAGAGCCTTAGTGAGGTCAGGTACTGATGCTGGATGATTAGTTTTGCCGCTCCAACTCATCCCAAAGGTATAGGATAGGGTTCCATCACTACAAACAGTGCAATTCCACTGCTCCATAATCCAGTACTGACTCTTGGCATTATGCATGGTGACCTTAGACTCATGTGCGACTGCGGCAGAGTGTCTCATGCTATCGACAGTGCATTTCCATAGGGATTATACAATGTGTGTGCGTAATTAATGCCTGTGTTCTTAATGAGTGCACCCTAAAGAGGCTAAATTTACTCATTACAAAGGGTGCCTGGATACTTTTGGACCTATGATAACAGCCATTTCTGTATCCTGAATCATGCTGCTGACTGCTGGTTGCTAAGTAATAAGAATCACTTTAAGCTGCTGGCAGAGGAAATTTCTGATGTAAAAAAAATAATGTTCTTTTTCTTAACTTGGTAAAACTTTTGCGTACAATACAACAATTTAGGATTGAACATTCCATAGAATGATAAAGAACATTCAAGGTCTTGTGTTATCACATTTAACATCAGGGACGGTCCCTTCATAGTAACACACCCCTGTGTTTCTAATATTTAAGGAACTATATACTTAAAAGTTCATAATTTCACAAGCCTAAAGGCAAGCAGGTGATATTAGCTGTCATGTATTGATTTTTTTTTGTTGTTTTTCAATAATCTATTGCAGTGTTTATTGAGGATGGAAGCATTTTGCTTAATGGTTATCGCCAACCCAAATTGCTTTTTGAAAGCTTATTTAAATAAAAAAGACACAAACAGGAGAAACAAATTAAAGAAGTCTTATAAATTACATTCTACTTTTGGTGTATAGTGATGTGAAATACACTGATGAGCTAAACCATTATGACCACCTGCTTAATATGCTGTTGATTCTCTATGTGCTGCCAAAACAGCTCTGATCAGCCAAGGCATTGACTCTACAAGACCTCAGAAGGCCCCCTGTGGGATCTGGCACCAAGTCGTTAAGCAGCAGATCGTTTAAGTCCTGTAAGGTGCAAAGCAGATCTGCTGCAGATTGAACCGCATTCTAGCACATCCCACAGATACTCAATCAAATTGAGATCTGGGGAATTTGGAGGCCAAGGCAACACTTTGAGCTCTGTGTCATGTTTTCCCAAATCATTCCTGAACAATGTGTGCAGTCTGGTGGAGCGCATTATCCTGCTGAAAGAGTCCACTGCCATTGGGGATTACCTTTGCCAGGAAAGGGTGTACCTTCCCACAGTGCATCGTGATGTCATTACTTCCTCAGGTAAACAACACACATGCACCTGGCCAACCACATGATGTAAAAGAAAGCAGGACTCATCGGACCAGGCAACCTTCTTCTGTTGCTCCAAGGTCCAGTTCTCACAATCGCATACCTATTTTAGCTGCTTTGGATGGTGGACAGGGCTTAGCATGGGCACTTTGACTGGTCTGCAGCTACGTGACTCCATACAAAGCAGGGTGCAGTGCACTGTGTGTTGTGGGACATTCCTCCTGTAACTTGCACCGCAGTAGCCCTTCTGTCAGTTCAGATCAGTTGGGATAGTCCTTGTTGCCCTTGGGCATCCAGCACCCTGCTGCTGGCTCATGGTTTGTCCTTCCTCAGACCAATGTCGTTAGGTACCAACCACTGCTGAATGAGAGCACCACAAAAGCCTTGCCATTTTGGAGATGCTTCAGTTGTCTGGCCATAATGATTTGACCCTTGTTAAGGTCACTTCACGTCTACCCATTTCTCCCACGTCCAACACATCGACTAAGAGAACTGGCTGTTCTTTTACCATCTAATATATCCTAGACATTGACATGTGCCGTTGTTATGAGATAATCAACATTATCTGCTCCATCTGTGAGTGGACATAATATTTTGGCTCATCAGTGTATTGTTATTGTCTGGAAAATATCACTATGTCAAGTTCATAGAGCACAACATATTTGAGTGTTCCTATCGCCCACTTCTAAAACCTCCCCCCATCTCTGGTGTTCTGGTGGAGTATTAATCATTGCCTTGTAACTGCACTGTAAAACTCCAAACAGGGTCAGAGATTTCCTTCCAGACACAAGAACATGCTGAGCCGTGAAAGAGGATTTTATAAACCTTAAGTTTTTTGTAATTTATTCATCTTTTCAGCAGATGTGCAGACACTAGAGCTGTCTTTTCTTCTGTTCTTCATGCACGTTAGCCTTTAGTGTTTCTGGATCTTTCTTTTTTCCACCTAAGTCACCTATACTTAAAATGTTTGTTTGCATCCTGTCTTTAATTTTAATACACTTTGATCAGGATGGAGATGATATAGATGAAGCCTGATGAAAGTTGGATTAACACATGACTTTTTAACCACCTTCAAGTCCTTGGAATTGTAGCTTCTAGAGTCATAGTTTTGCTCATCATGAGTCACAAGTACCATCTGGACCTGAAACACATGTTTAGACTATAATGAAAGCTGATTGGTTTTTAGTCTTCCAGCAAGAAGTTTATTTATATGTCATCATCGCACCATGATTTCATGACCTACCCTAATAAGTTAGGATCCTTATAAATATCATTGCATGTGGTCGGAAAGTGAATTCTATCACTGCTTCCCCAGATCTATCATTATGATTTGTGAGGACTTTTACAGTTGTTATTCTTGTTATATAGTACTGTGGAAAAAACAGAGACCACCCTTCATCTGTTTAATATCCCATCAAAGCGTGCATTAAGTACAAGTTATTCATTTTTCAGGACATCTTTCTGTGAACATCGGATGTCAGATGAGAGTTTCCAAAAAAAGGAATTTTAATAAAAAAATAAATAAATAAATAAAAGATAGAGAAAATGGGGCTTTTAACAACCATGTAAGATCTAGTACCACCTAAACTACCACCATTGGATAAACCTAAAGCACACAAACCGACCCAGAGCCACCCCAAATGCAACCAACTTCTAAGGCTGAACTTTAGATGTGTGGAAAAATATTCAGATTACTTTAAAAAACTGAAATCAAGTCTCCTGAAAAGAATAGAAGCTGTAATAAAAGCAATAGAGGAACACACTAAATACTTTGAAAAAAAATATGTATTTAGTTGTTGAGGCTTCTGTTTAATTTTATGTGGAATGTGTTTTCTGCTTTTTTTCTGATGCTGAAAAATGACTGGCTTGTGCTTAATGGCCGATTTGAATGCCCAAAGTGTGATATCTGACTTTTGCACAGTGCTGTTTGTGTATTTTCACACAATTTGTCATTCATCTCCAGTTTGTCTACTTCACTTTGATTCAAGCTGATGTTACCCAAAGTGGCTGTGTTGTCAGAATACAAAATGTACCCACAACACGTGTGCACTGCTTGCCCTCCGAATGCCCCTTTTCCCTGAACAGTCAGACTTCTGTTCTTTCCTTTGTGTCTGCTCTCCCTTCTTCATCATTGGCAATCAGTGGAGACTGCTCTTTGTTTACTGTCAACTTGGTTAAAATGGCCATCCAACATGGTCTGATAAGGCTTTGAGCTCCAAATGACCCCAGAGGTGGCCTCATTGATTAGAAAAAGTGCCATTAAAATATTAAAATAAGCCTCATAATAAGAAGAGGTTACATTCATACAAATAAAAGACACATGAAGAAGAATGTTAAGCTGTGGTATTTGTCTTGAAACCTTTCATTCTTCTGACCAGTTTCCCTCCTTCCCCTTCCTTCACTGTTTTCCATCCCTTTAATGTCTTTTCCAGTCATTTATTATGTATGTAGTTTTCTGCCCTTTTGGAAACTGTCAGTCATAACTGCCAAAAGAGGAGGGAAAATAAAAGAAAAAAGACTGGAGTGAGGGTTGAGTGATAGCTTTGTAGGCTCGCTTTTATCGCAGTAGCCTTTTGGGCCTTTAGGGTCTTCAGGCCCTGATTGTTATGACCATTCTTAAAGGGGAATTCCACCATTTTTTGAAAAATTTCTGTCATTAAATTGTAAAGATGAAAACGAAGTCATTCAGTCATTTGGGTTTGATGTGAAATGCTCCATTCAGAATTTACAGTGGCAGTGATAGGAGCCAGACGTCTGAAGAGTCAAAGAAAGGCCTCAGAAAGTTTTTACATGAAATGGCTACGTATGTGCTGTCTGATGCTGGACACGGTGTTTTACAGTAGTTTTGCAATGAACTTTTGGCCTAAAACTGAATTTTTAGGATCTATTAATGGTGAAAAGTGTCCCAAAGAAATCTTATTTTACCATCATTACATTACACATTATACGTTACGTATAAAAACTCAAAATACACGTGAGTTAACTGCTGGTTTTGGGTAGTAAATAAAATGGCTATTTTTGTGTTGTAGACATTGTGACCCCTGGTTTCTATCACCACCACTGTAAAGAAATCTGAGTAAGCTTCTCTACAATGCACCATTTCTCATGAAACCACTCTGAATGACTTTCTTTACATCTCAAACACTGAATTAAGCAGAAATGTTGAAAAATTTGTAATTCTCCTTTAAAGGAATACTCTGCCACATCTGAAGCATACAGTTGATTTACCATGAACAATAATGTCTCTACATTTTCGCATGGGGGAAATTCCTAAACAGAGGAACCTTGTACCACTGTTGAAGCTATTTTTTTTAGTTTTTAGTTTTTTATCTGAGTTATGCATGATGTGTAATGTATATGTCAAATCATTTCTCATCTTTTTTTTAATTATATTAATTAATATCATATTAATCCAAGATCAACACTGTCATATTTTAATTTGAAGCCTTTATCAATTTATGTCTTTATGATTCTACTTCATTTTAATAAGCTATAAGCAAAAAACAAATGTTAGTATAGAGCAAACACAGAGTAAAGACAAAAAGTATTTTGTTTTGTCTCAAAGCCAAGCTCTCTCCATGCACCCCATTGTTAAATATAAAAAAAAATGTGTATAAATAAATATTGCTGTCCAAAGAAAAATCTCCATTTTTGTTGATTTTTATTTTCCAACATTACTTGAACACATCAGCTGTTCTTTATACTGAGTTAAAATTTCATGATTGAATGGCTCAAAAGAAATTCTCAAAATTGCTTGGAATAAAACCTCTTTACACTAACGTACATTGAAAGTTAGGAACATTTTTGTATTCTCCTGTAAAGTTACTCTTTTGGAGGTACAAGTTTTTCTTTGGATAGCAACAAAATGTATAGACTGCTATGATCTACTGACAAAATTAGATCAGCTGACCCTAAATATGAAGTAAATGTGTTGAGATTAGATTTGGCCCCATCATTTGATCAGGAGAGAAAACAGGAGCTCTGATCCTAGGTAGCATCTTCCTCATGTTACCCTACTTAATTAAAGAGCAGATAATACATTGACTTGAAGCACACTTATAACAGAAGCCAGTGGGTAGTTGCTTCGTTGTCGGAAATTAATGTCAGTGGTAATCAACAGTGCAGTACAGATGCAACTCATAGAGATCAGGTAGAAAACTGCTGCATTACTTTAACATTGACCTGTGTTTATGATCTCTGGTCTGTTTTCACTCTCATAGTCAAAACCACCTACAAAAAACACACCTATGAACACATTCAGTTTAACCTGGTGCATCATTGCAGGCTTACTGCTAATGGCTGTAAAAGAATAAATTCACAACTTAGTAGCTGTACATAATTTATTGCAAAAGTCTGGAAATGCACAAGACATTAATGCCTTGTATTACAAAAATATTTTCACTGTTATTTTATACATCTTTACATGTCTCTCACAGGGCTTCAGATTTGCTCGACAGGAGCTCGTATTACCAGCAAAATCACCACAGTGGTTAGAGTCACTGTTTGAGATTAGGGCCCGACCGATATGGAAATATAAAAATGGCACTTTGAAGCAAAATCTTTTTTTGGCCAACATGGTGGTTTGAGCTAGACCAGTGTGGTGTGCTCTGCTTGCTGAGCAGTAGTCCTAATCACCAAGGCATGTGTTCTGAGACCTACACCTGACTGTGATTGGTACTAATCACCACATCATGTATTCGAAGACCTTCCCCTGACTGTGATTAGTCCTAATCACCGCATTATGAGTTCTGTGGCCTCCCTCTGACTGTGATTGGTCCTAATCACTACATTATGTGTTCAGAGACCTCCCCCTGACTGTGATTGGTACTAATCACCACATCATGTGTTTGGAGACCTCCCCTGACTGTGATTGGTCCTAATCACCACATTATGTGTTCTGTGGCCTCCCCCTGACTGTGATTCGTCCTCTGCTTCTGTGAGCTTCTAGCGGTGGTGATACATACATCAAGCTTTTTGACAACAGCATGTTCAACCATGGATTTTCAATGTCAACCGATATTATTGCTCAACCAGGATGTCGGTCGGGCCCTATTTGAGATACAGAAATAGACAACTGACTGTAAAGGTAAGATATACTCTGTAGTCTCAGAAAAGAAAAAACATATTTTCTTCACACACCTTCAGTGTACAATGTAACGAGGTCATTGATACAAGTATACTATATAAACATACCTGATGGGCAGTCTCATTACTTTCACTCTACACTAGTATCTGCAAAATTACAGTCTTTATTTCCCATCCTAAATGAAACAAAATGTAATGCTCTTATAAGACAAGCTTTTGAGAGGACCTTGCATTTTTAAAGTTTAGCTCACATATCTTAAATGTTGCTTCTTAAAAGGGATATTCCTTATCATGCTTCATATTAAGTTATAATTCTTTGAGTCTATAAAATAATGGTATTTGTTTTGCCTTTGTTGAAATACTGATTTGGCCTATTTCAACTGCTTTGGGAAGTGGGTAGACTTGGATGACTTGACACCCAAAACTGGACTTTCTCAATGATATTTCATCAATGTCCTCTTTGTCATGGAATACTGACCAATACTTACCGTTTAAAGAGCTATTCATGATTAAGCCACAGTCATTGGACAGAATTTCCTGTGTAGTTATGAAAGGAAATACAGTATTGTAACAGAGCTCCTTATTTTAGCCAGATAACATCATGCATCAAATTAGCACATCATCTCAAGGCTTGCCGCATAAATGTAAGCAAAGTAACAGTTATATTGTACAATGTGTTCTTCTGACGCCGTTCGTCAAAGTTCTAATTGCACAAAGGGTGAAATTTCACACACAGGGCAATGTCCGGCTCCCTCTTGACATTGCAGCTGTTTTGGCGCCCCGGTGAAAAAAACATCACTGGGATTGCAAAATGAGGACCAAGATGACACTTTGTACTCTGAATGCCTGCATTCTAAACTTTTAGTATTATTCTTCAGAGTCAATACTCCCTAAATTGCACCCAAAATATTGTCCCCTCAAGCAATGGAGAGCTTGTGCACTTTGTTTGACTGTATCTTAAAATCAGTAAAGAAAGTAACAAAAACACATACATAAGAAGATGTATAAAAAGAAAAGTTAAAATTGCACTTTTGTACCCTTGGTTCAAAATGTCACAACCATGAGTTCTTGTGGGTTTTTTTTTCCTCCTTTGGGTTTGAGCTGCTAGTGAAATGTGTTGGGGTTGGGTCGTATCATCATGGTGACTTTCTTCAGTGAGTATGACCCTCCCCGGAATTCTGCCCAGTAGACTCCATCCTGGTAGCGACTGCGATAGTGGCCTCCCCGGTACCACACACCGTTCAGGTTGGAGTGGGCACAAGCGTTATACCACCAGCCACCCTTCTGGTAATGGGCACAGTTTCCTGAATGAGAGGAAAATATTGGTTCTAGTTCAATGGAAAAATCACTGCTCTCACCTTTTAATCTGCAAAACTTTACATTGAAAAAATCAGAGACCACCCTTCTTTTATTTCAAGTTAAAACTTCTATTAAGGACAAGTTATTCATTTCACAGAGTCTCAAAAACTGGAGTTCAACTGGAGAAATTGGGGCTCCTAACAACCATGCAAGACCTGGTAGGCCATCAAAACAGCCACTATCAGATAAACAATATTTAAAGCTTTCATCTTTGAGAGAAAAGAGAAAATCTCCACTCCTGCTTCAAAAATCCACTGTCCATGTTTCCACTGTGAGAGGACAACTATGAGTATGAAGCAATGTGTAGCTGTCAAGAAGCCCTTACTGAGAAAAGGAAATAGACAAGAAGAAAATTTGCAAATTAGACAAAGAGGCTACTGGTGATCTCAGAACAATGGACTGACCACCCCAGAGTCCAGGCCTCAACATCGCTGAATGTGTTGGGAATTATTTGGATCATGAGAAGCAGAACAGTCAACCCACTTCTGTGACTGAACTTTGAAGGAGTGGAAAAAACATCCCTGCAGATTTCTTTGAAACACTTGTACTTATTGGCCATTTTGACTGAAAATTAAATAAATAAAAGGTGATCTCTGACTTTTATATATGTGTTTTCACACAATTTAATGTTCTTCTCCTGTTCATCTCCTACACTTTGTTTCAAATTGATTTTACCCCATAGTGTCTGTTGTCAAATTGTAAAATGTACCCAAAACACCATGTGTATAATCTCAAATTTTAATGACAGAAGGTTAAAAATCTGTTTTTTTCTTCTTGCCTTGCAATAATGTTATCAACAGCAATAATTTCAGCCGTTTAAATGCCTCAAAATGAGGATAGTGTTTGTTCCTTGTCTCATCCTGAAAAAACAGCCTGTCAGCACACAGGAACCTTGTGCAGATAACCTCCACAAAGTAACTGGGCTACATGCCAGTGCAGTGTTGGGCCAATCTCTCTCTTTTGCCCCCCCTTTTTTTAATAGACCACCCACAGATAGTCTTGTGATATTGTCTCACTTTCTGGATTTGAAGCTTTTAATTGTTTTGCAGCGCTATGGATACCAATGCTCTAGTGCACAATCAGTGCTCTTAGCAAGGGCAGGGAGCAGTTTCTAAAACAATTTTATAATTCACTATAATTTTGTTGAGGAAAATGTTACTGTGCTGTTTTGCCTTGTAAAGAACATTGTGCTGTCATTCTGACTGGACTGGTCTGACCAGTACATGCATAAAATGAATAATATGAAATATTATTAATATGAAAAACATTAAATTTAGCTTTGATAGATATGATTGATGCTGAGATATGGAATCTCTAAATGTATTGGTACACTGTGAGTCTTAAAACAGTTTGGAATTAAACATTGAGGTACCTGTGTAGACGTCATGGTCTCTGTCAAGGGTGGTAAACTGCTTTCCATTGTGCCAAGTAAGGGAATCCCCAGCATTGCCATGGTAGCGTCCCACCCTCAGCCTGTAGAAATCAGCCTCTGCCTCTACCCGGAAACTGGCGTATTCTGCAAAGGTCTTTCTGCCTGACCAGTCTTCAAGAGTCACTAGAAGCTTGTAGTTGCCCTGGTTGGTCAGCCAGTAGATGTTCTCCAGACCAAGCCAGTATTCACCGTCAATGTTTCCAAATCCTTGCTAAGAGGGAAAGAGAGAGAATAAAAGCTTTGGAAGGGCATAGTCAAGCTCTGGTAATCAGTGACTTGATGCAAGGTGTCTTTTTTTGACTCACAAAACTATTTGTCTAAAAGTGTCCAGGCACCACTTTTAATTGGTAAATTTGAGTACTTTGATGCACCCATTACTGACACAGTCATTCAGTTGTGCACAGAGTTTGTATAATCTCTGTAGAACGCATTGTCAATAGAAATTGCAAAACTTTGGGACATCAACAAATGAGCTTTTACACGTCGGCATTGAAAAGAGTATCGTTCCATGCCTTATAGTGGTGCATAACAGATTTTTTGTTGCGTAATACTGGGTGCGTCCGGACAACAATGAGACATTTGGTGCCCATGACTCACTAAAAAAACATTGACATCCGGTTTATTTCACTGCCACAATTGATGCCAAAAGTTGGGAATACACTTGACGGAACATTCCACTGATTGCATGGGTACGCTGCCAGTGCTTGAATTTTCTGTTGCTGTGCCATTGAAAGCAATAGGAATATGTGCTTTGCCATCGACCGTCTACCATCACAATGAAAATACAGCCTAAGTTCACCATGCCCAATGCCAAGCGTTAGCTAGAGGGGTATAAAGCCCCCAGCGTTGGGCTGTGGAACAGTGCAATTGCATTCTGAAAATGATGGAGCTCCAAAACTAATGATTCAGAACTAATCATCCAACATCAGTACTTGACTTCACTTATGCTCTTGTGGAATGCAATCAAATCCTCACGGCAATATTCCAACATCCAGCGTGAAGTTTCACAGAAGACTAGAGGCTGTTACTTCAGGAGAAATGTAGTATACATAGTGTATCTGAGAAATACTGATTTATAAGTATCTGTTATCTGTATGTTATTCAGTTTTACAAAACTGGTTTCAGTCAGCAGTCCCCCAAAATGACTGCTCATATTTAGCTTTTTCACTATCCATTGCAAATTATTAATGTGTCCTTTCCTTTGGCAATAATTTAGGCCACGATTTCCTCAAACCTTTTGTGTGTTTAAGACTGTGGTTTTCAGATGAAGCCAGTGGTGTGCAGTAATTACAGGATGTGTTTCAGCTCTTCTGACACTCAGCATTGCATCAATTCTGGGCTAATTAACACACACATGGGTTCAATCACGAGTTAACCAAAGTGGCAATATCACTTAATGTCTCGGGTGTTTCTTACCAGGGGATTTGAAAGTATTTCTAGTCCTCTTGATAGCAGTGTTCGTGCTAATAACATTCATCCTATTTAATTTATTCACTTTTTTGTCATGTCTACATTATGCTGTGGTAAATCATGAACAGAAACCGACAGAAAAACACATTTTATGGAGGTTTGGTCATTAGATTCTTAACCTGGGCGTCAGGGTTAAGATGCATCATTTCAAGCTGGTTTTAATCGCCGGCCCTGATGTAACTGTGAATAGCTGTTGGCCCACATTGAGAGTAAGGACAGAGCAAAGAAAGCCCTAGAAAAGCATCATGTTTGGAAAGCTTCATGGCCCATGTTTTGAAACGCAATCCAGCTTACATAAGCAAGACATGGGAAGGATTCCTGATGCACTTACTCAGTGTTCCAAGTACCTCATGTGTGAAAGGTTCAGTTTTTTTTGTGAAGGCTCTCAGAGCAACAATGAGGCTTCAAGAAAACTCTGGCCATAGCTTTTGTCTCTATTTGTACAACTTCCAGCATGACAGAAAGTTCAGCTTTGATTGCTGAAGTCTTTCTTAAGCATGTTGTCATGACATATGAGTCATTTACACATGTTACTCATTTACGTACATCAGAATTCAGTACAGTGGAAAAGTCAGAGACCATCATTTCATTTATTTAATCTCCAGTCAAAACGGACAGTTAGGACGAGTTGTTCATTTTTCAGTGGCAGAAAAAAAGCAAAAGACATATTAGTAGAAAATTATAAAGCAACCTCACCAAATAAATATAATAGTATATTTTTCAGTATTTAGTGTGCCCACCCTTGACCTTCATTACAGCTTGCATTCTTTTTGGGAGTCTTACTTTCAGCGTTCCAAAGAAATCTACAGGGATGTTTTTCCCCACCTCTAAAGTTCAGTCTTAGAGGTTGGTTGCATTTACCAGTTACCAAATACCAATTGCAAATTTAGGCTTAGCAGCCCATAAAACCTTACTCCACATATCAGATGTACAATTTCAGTGCTCTAGTGCAAATGTTCTTCTTTTTTGTCTATTTCCTTTTCACAGTAACAGCTTCTTTACAGCTATACATCCTTACAGACCCATAGTGATGAGTTTCTGTATCTGTTGAGTATCTGATGATGACTGTTTTGGAAACTGTGGACTATTTTACATCTAATCTCCTTAGAAATATCGCCTGAATATGGATAACCTGCACTAAACAGCTTTTGTTGGGAGAACACAGCTGTAACTCAGTGGTTTTCAGATTGAAGCAAGTTAAAGTGGCAGTAGGCGCACTAAAGTAAACACAAGTTACATACAGATAGATGTGACATACTTAGTTTTGGAGGCGTTTGTGTTAATGGCAGTTTTGACTGTAGGGTTAAAAAAACACAAGGGTAATCTCTGACAATATGTACACTTATGTTGATTCTGATGTTGACATTTCAAGATTTTAGGAAATGTACAAATTGAGACTGAATCGATGTGCATCAGCCTTGTAATGTTGCAATTATTGGTTAGAAGGTTAGTGAAGTAAAATGAAGAAAATGCAGACATGTTAGTGTAATAACCATCCTAAAGATTCTGCTCTTGTGGAGTACAATAAATGAGTTGTCCAATATCAATTTGAAACCTCAGTGAAATCTAGACATTCATCTGATGCCAGTAGTTTTATTTTTTGAACAATTCTCTTCCGATAACGAAACTATTCCGATATCTTTGTGCATACCTAACAACTGACATTACCTGTTCTGTTGCAGCTGTATGTCATTGGTAGTGTTTGCCTGCTCTGAACACTTGCCATGAGCCAAAGGAATTGAGCCCATCTAAGAATATGTTACACTGACATTGTCCATTTAACTTTGAGCGGAAACTTAAACTCACCTTGTATGTCTCCCAGTTCCTGAAGAAGTTGACTGATCCATCCTGGCGTCTCTGAATGACTGTCCAGCCTCCTGGGTCATGTCTCTGGTCACACCACACTTGCATTAGCTTGTTACCATTTTCCGACTTCACCAGATACATGCCGCTGTTGGTGTGACCCTCCTCCAAGGCCTGCAGACAGTCTTTGAAGGGCCCTGTTTAAATAATGCAAGATGTGTAGGCAAAAGCACTGATTAAAGAGATGTTGCAACATACATTGCATTTATAATATCACAGAGAAGCACAATTCAGAATGACCTTCTAGCACAATGGTTATTGTTGTCAGAATGAGTCAGCATCAATAGACGTGCTGTACTTTTGTTTTCATGATGTTTAGAAAGATTTTAAACTGTTAATATACCGGTCATAAACTGAAACGGTCATGGCAGTGAGAATTCCTCCTCCATCAACCACTTAGCTCACAGTTATCTGGGATCTCAGTGTGTGGTATTTGCCTAGCATGTTTTTGGGCCTCCAGCTTTTTTTTCCTTCCTCAGGAAACTCTCAGTGAAGACTTTGGCTGCTGTTGTGTGAGGAGAATTCCCTCTTGTTGAATTTTAGCAGTCCAAGAGCAACACCGGCACATAGCCTTCCATGACCAAGGTCTTTAATTTTAGTAGTGCTAATGCTAATGCTGGGTGCATCAGAAGCTCGTTTGAAGCTTTGAGTGATTGTACATGTTGTTAGGAAAAGAATAGGGATACATATTGCTGCAGTTGGAAAAAAACCTCGTATCTCCAAAATGAGAACTTTACAGGAGAAGGAAAAAACATCAACCCTGCTAAACAAAGCAACCCTGGTAAACAAAAACAGGCTTATCTTTTTGACCTTTCATTCAAAATATGAACAAAACTCTTTTATTTGAAGTACAAAAATTGGAGATTCTGCTTGGAGTTTCTTTGTCTACTCAAACCATCCTCCTCACTGTGCATGGGGTCAGCATAGACATATGTTCTCTTCCTGGCAGATTCTTAGTATCCACAGTTGTTTTAAGCTTCTTAATTATTGCCCTGATAGTGGAAACTGTTCAACTGTTCAACTGTTTAGCTATTTTGTAGCCATTTCCTGATTTGTGTAGCTCAACAACGTTTTGTTGTACATCACTGATGACTGAGGGAATTTGGCCTGTGTTTAATCTCATAAATATTCCCCAGTGAATCAGGAAGTCATGGCTGACCATTTACGTGTTCCTAATTGCTCAGATGAACTTAAAAACCTAAAATATGAATGCAAATATACTTCAGTTAGTTTTCACTCTTAAGAATTTGTAGGATTGCCAGTAATTGTGGCACACAGATTTAAGTAATTTTTTTTTTCATTCGTTTTTTCTTTCAATCATTATACCTTAAATAAAGGTTAGATTTTTGCTAATACTTTGAATGAAAGATCAAAAGGATAAGTAAGTAAGAATATTTTTTACAGCTCATTTTGCTCATGATTACCAGGGGTGCCAGTATTTGTGGAGGGCACTAGTGCACAACTTAAAGCTGTACTATGTAAGCTTTCGGGATTTGGAGACCTCTCTGGTAAAAATGTGTAATTGCACGCAATTTGCAGAAGAACATTTAACATTCAACATCGGTTGTGCCTCGGACCCCTTTCCCGGACAGATGAATCTAATGATTGCAAGAGCATTGAAAGAGTATTCAAAGAGAACTCAGTCAAAACTTACTGAAGGATGTGTCTTCCGAAGATGTAAGTGAATGACTTATAATGGTCATTGTATCTTTATGAGTATAAGATTGATTAATTGTTGCATTGGAGATGCCCAAGCTTCTTTTTGAGTCTGTGCGTGTGACATTAATACATAAAGACAGATGATGTGGTCAGAAAAACTCCTGTGAAATCCAACCTGATACCTCTTTTAAATTACTGTTTCAGCAGCGCGTGGACTATGTATTTTAGCACCTCCTGACTCAATAATGCTACTTCAGTATTTAACAAAAAACTTAGGGCAGCTTTAAGTGATTTTCATTGTGACATTGTGCGGCATATCTTGTTTAATGGTATTACCTAGGTGCTTTTTGGATGGACATCAAGTTTGTGCCATCAAAAGAACTTCAGAAAGCTCCTGTAGTTGTTACCGCAGTATATATTTCACTGTTATTAATTAGCATTCCAGCCTTCAATTAAAATTCTTAAACAAATGCAAGGAGCAAGGAGTCTTGACATCCTACCTTCTTGTTTAACAGCATACTAGCAAGCCTTTCTCCAACAACAACATTGCACTTTTGCCCTTTAAGGACATCATCCAGAGGATAAATGCTTTCATGTTGTGAGCCGGCAAGCCGTGGCTGCCAGAGGTCAGAATGTTAAAGACTCTGAGCTTTTTCCTCCTTCTGGTGGATTTTCTCCTGGGTGGTAGAAGGTGTCCAAGTTAGAGCTCCTGTTGGAATGCCCACACATTATACTGCATTTAATAATGTGTCTGGTTTACTTCTTCTTTCTGTCTGTCTGTCTGTCTCCCTCTCTCCTCCGTTCTCTCCCATCTTCCTTCATCTACTCTCTGTCTTTTGTTCATTATGTTTAAAGGAAATGCTCTGAGGTTCATATCTTTCTCTATATGTTTTTGGGTTCTCTATACTCACTAGCTTTTTCCCTTTTACAACTTTGCAAAAAAAACAAACAAACAGGTATCCCTGCCTTAGTCAGATGTGTACTTCTCTGCCTCTTTCATATATTCCTCCCCTACTATCTCTTACAGCGTACTTTATTGTCTCTTTAGCTTCCAGTCTATTTACACCCGTTCTACTCTGGTATATGCTTAATCACAGCAGTGGAGCATTAGAGAACCTGCTAATCTACTGTATCTTCTAAAGAGACTGAACATTGATTGACCTACAAGTCTACTTGCAGAGCTTAACAATGTGGATAAGAGCCTAGCCAGCTATGCTAACCCTGAGCATTGTTACATCAGATTGCAGCAAGTGTCTCTTGAGAATTCCACATGTTGTCGGACTACAATTTTTGCAAGAACTAAAAATCTTTGGAAAAGCAACTATGAATATAGCAGGGCAGAGCTCATTTATTCACATCACATGTTATAGCTTAGTGTCAGTGAGAGCTTTCTCCCACACATCAGGCCACTAGCTATTGTTAATTAACATGGAATGCCACATTCACAGACCAAGACTTGGCAGATTGCTTTGCTTTCAAAATGACTTGTGGTATGCAATGGAAATTCTGCCCTTGTCCCAGTCTGTGTCCCTGATGCTGCTTTGCTTGAAGACTGTACAAATGCTAACCTCAGCTAACTGCATTAGTTGCTACTGTTGACTAATGTCAGTATTGCCTTAATGTTGATTTGCTTAACAACGGTACAAATCCTAACCTCAGCTAACTGCTTTAGTTACTATGGTTGACCAATATCAAAGGTGCTTTAATATTGCTTTACTTAAAGCCTGCACTAATGCTAAACTACACTGAAGGCTACATAGTTATTACTGTTGACTAATGTTAATGTTGCCTCATTTTTACTTTGTTTAAACATTGCACAAGTGCTAACCTCAGCTAACTACTTGAATTTTTATTGTTAACTAATGTCAATGTTGAATAATTGTTTATTTATTTAATAACTGTACAAATGCTAACCTCAGCTAATCGCTTTAGTTATTACCCGGATAGCAAGCATATATCGGTCCACTAGCTTGATAAGGTCGGCACCCCGCTAACTGTACGTCACTGCTGGTCCACCCTCGGACCACCCAGATTACTGCCTTGCATACAAGCTCTAAATAGTTTTTTTTATCTCCCCAAACAAATTTTAAATGCTTTTAAATAATTTTATAGAACGTGTTGTTGCTGACCCTATGCTACATTAAAATTACTTACTAAACTACTAATTTACAGAGTATAACTAAAGAAAAGAAGGAAGGAAAACAAAGTAAATTGGACTGTGTGAAAACTGAACGATGATAAGTGGAATTTTGTCTATTACTCTGATTAACCACTGGTGGACCACCCAGAAAACGCTGAGCAAAATACCTTTGGACAGCCAGCTTTGCCATCAGTGGCTGACAGTGGTCTACTGTCTTCTTGCTATCAGGGCATTGTTGACTAATGTTAATGTTGCTTCAATGTTATTGTGATTAAAGCAAGTTTGTTTACTACTGTAGACTAGGGTTGCCACCTCAGCCCTGTAAAACATTCCTGGATAATCAAGTCAGTGACTTGATATTTTGCTAATTTCAGTGGATGGTTAGCTATGCTCCTGATGCAGTAGGTCGATAGATAAGAATTCAGCTATAAAACATAAACCTCTCTGTTATTGTGTTGCAGTGCTGCCCCTAACAGTTCACTTTTCTGAAATGATTGCGTCTATGTTCACGATAACCCGAACCAGCCAAACCCCTTCTTTATGTACAAATGTTTGTTTGGTTTAAGGAAGCAGTTTAAACTTAATAAGAAATGATAACTTATGAAAATGCTTGTATTTTGGGACATTTCCTAGACAGACCAAAATCCAGAACAGTCCAGAAAACTCCTGGACAGCTGGCAACGCTACTGTTGACTAACTTAAATGATGCTTTAATGTTGCTTTGTTTAAAGCAACTTTAGCTATTGAATAATGCCAGTCATTGTGCACAGACTTGTCTCAGCAACCACAGACCGTAAGGAAAATTGTTTGTTTTAGAAAATTGCACTTGAAGTTGGATGAATGTGCTGCAGGGGGTATTTGTTTGTGTTACTGGCAGGAAGTCATTATTTTGTTTTCAAGCTGTGCCATTCATTTTCACCTTGTTCGGATGTGTGTAGATGAAACATTGTAGACATAGACTCATTAATTCCTAGCATGTCTGCTTCAGTGTGTTCTATAGCCTGCAAATTAACAGCTTTAACCAATGTGCAACTTTCCTGTTTTAAGGTAAAGTGTTGGTAGTGTTTTCCATAGAAGTCTTTTTTGCCATTTTATATTGTTATGGAAAAGGATCATTGATACTCTCTCAACACACTCATCTCAGATACAATGTCACATTCATCAGATTGTTTCATATCTTTTGTGTTGGATGAACTTGCTTGTGTAACTACTGTGCATTTCTTCAGGAAAGAGCAATAGGAATACTTTTTTACTATCTCTGTCATACCAAAAACATTTTAAGGTTTCCACAGTTTTAGGCTCTCAGGATAGCCCACCTGTTGTACAGCCATATGTCAGTCAGCACACAGCGGAATGCGCTGTTTCTCACACAAAAACAGAAAAAAACAGCACTTTCACATGTGTGGCTCACTAAGAGTCAGTAGTAAATTGCACAGCAAATTACGAAAAATGTATAATTACTTCTGCCTGGCTGATAGTTTGAGGCTGCTTTGTGATTTGGAGACCTTGATGGATTACCAAGCAAGACTGGTACATGAGCAACCCCCCAACATGCAGATTGTTGTCAAAATACATGTATAAACCTTGAAGAGTGGTCATTTCCTGGAATACAACAAAAGAACTGCATTTAAAGGTGGGGATGTGCATTGACATAAGCAAGATTATATGATATAACCATGTTAATTAGTCATGTAAGCTCAGCTATTTAAAAATGTTGAGGTTTTATGAGGTTAAAAAGGTAAATAGAGGTATTAATAAAGGTCAAATTGATTGTGCCATTAAAAAATATTTGAACGAGTTGAACCAAAGCTCTGCCTAAGAACATTACAAAAGCATTCCTCTTACTCAGTAAATCCTCTTTGAATTGTTCTATGACTTGACATATAGTTGAATGGTTGTTTTTTTGTTGGTCTAAGTATACGTGGAGATTTCTCGGTTAGTCTGTTCCACAAGGATTTGTTTCAGTTGAGTGATTAGTTTGCTGACCTTAACATGAGGAAAATCCACATGTGTCCCTGCTGTGTGTTTCTGCGAGCATTTGTTGTTTTCTTTGGAACCTCTACACACCATGATCTAAGCAAATCACATGGTCAAATACATGAGTTTTTATGCCACACATCTGAAAATGAAATTCATAAGATCTGGCAGGAAACTGCTTGAGGAGGATGTCCTCTGGCAATAAGTCTCTCATTTATACTCCATTACCCATGGCTGCCAGTTGCAATGTGTTGCCTATGAAGGCTTACATCTCAATTTGCTCCTTGTTCTTAATTTACAATAAAGGTTAGGTTTCGTTGTCTTCTTAAATCACACTCTTGAAAATAAAGGTGCCAAAACCACTTTGAAAAAACCTTTTTTTTAAGTTTAAAGAACCTCCACACAATGATTCTGTCCCAATTTAATGTTTTTACTCAGTCTAAAGAAGAACCATTCAGGAACCTATTTTTTTTTTAATGCAGAGAGAATATGGAAAGCTTTCCCAACGATGTTAGCAAAGAAATTACAAGACTAACTCACCTGAAAGCTTGTCTGTTGTGGATGGGCTGTGGGTGCCAGCGGGCATGGTAGGTAAAGGTGGTGGCATTGCCTTCTGATCACTCTGGATTTCATTAGTGATCTGGTTGTGTCGTGTGAAGGGAGGTGGGTGGAACGGCTTAGCTGGGGGTTGATGGGGTAAACGGAGTTGGGGTTGTTGTTGTTGAGGAGGGGCTACAGGAGGCTGGTAGGGTCGGGCAGGCCGTGCCACACCACCTCCACCAGCTCCTCTGAAGCCGCCCCTTAGACATTGTTCCTCCAGCTGTGCTATAAGCGCAGTCTGATTGTTGGCAAGAGAGGCCAGGTGCTGATACTTGTGCTCGAGGTCGCGGTAGCGGGAAGCCAGCCGCTGCATCTCGGCCGTGTGGTTAAGCACACGGTTCTCCAGCTGCGACACCTCCAGAGCATTGTCCCGTTTACGGATAATCTCGTGTAGCAGCTGCATGTACAGCTGGGTCACCCGGGCGTTCATGTTGCGTGACTCCTTGCGCAAAAGCTTCACTTCGTTCACCACGCCACCATCCACCTCCACCAGCTGCTGCAGTGATTCAATTTGACGCCTCTGCTTGTGGAGCTCACCGTTAAGCAGCTCCAGCTCCTGCTTATTCACCCTATTCTCCAGCAGAGCCTCCGGCTCTTTGCTGTTTACACAAATGGCACCCGTAGTCTTCTGCTGAGGCACAATAAAGGTATATGAGCACTTGTCTGGTGGCGGGCTGCCTGCAGGGTCCGCGGAGCGCTTGCTTCGTCCAGCGTACAGGAATTCTCGTTCTAGCACCTCGTCTCTACTGTCAAACTCCTGAACTTCCCCAGACACAGTCAAATCTGGCCTTGTTATGGTCAGGGTCAGCAGCACTGACAGTGAAAACTTCATAATGAGAGCAGGCATGTCTGCTCTCTAACTCTCAGCAGGATAATTCCTATGAAAAAATAGAGGTGCAAAATTGAGAAGCACTTTCAAGAACATTTAACTTTTCAGGCATTCTAGTCCAATTTAATCAGAACGTCCACCTCATTAGCCATATAATCTATACCAGGGGTGCCTAATCCTGGTCCTAGAGATCTACCACACTGCAGAGTTTAGTTCCAGTCCTAATATAACACACCTGATCCAGGTAATGAAGGCCTTAAGGGACCATTACATTTTAGGGCCAGGTGTATTACATCTGAACTCTCCAGGCTGGTAGATCTCCTGGACCAGGATTAAGTACCCCTTAACTACACATACCATATAGGTGCGCTTTGAAGATGCACACTTGCTGATTGTGCCAGGTACAATTTTTCAGCAACCTTCAACCCTGTCTATCAGTGGAAAGGGACCATCACAGGACCCCTACTGACCAGAAATCATTTAAGTAGTGGACTTACGCCACTACCATATTGGTATCGCTATGCTGGGAGTGGTCCACCTCCTAAACAGTTTTTGGCCAGTAGTGGTCTTATTGTGATCCCTTTCCTTTCATGGACAGGGTAGGGGGTGTCTGACAGAGCCTAGCATCAGGTGAACTACAGGTAGTGGTTGTATAGTAGGTGGCGCCTCATTGTATGAACAAACTCTATTAAGCTTGTATTAAGTCAGCCTTTGTGTTTTGCTGGAGAGACTACAACAGTCAGTATTGCATGGCTGCATAATCGAGTAAAATGTTCCATGTCTGGCAGACCTCCTAATTAGCCCTGTTGAAAATAATGAAGAACATGAGCATAGCTGAGAACAGGGAAATCTGGGAAGGAAAGGTGAGTAGAACACATTTAATCAAGCTTTTCTTCTGAAACCAACCATATGAAGCAACAGTGCTGTTGTATCCTAGGAAAACTTGCATTGATGAATGATCTCTTTGGCTTAAATGATTTTTCCTTGCTTCCTCTCGTGAGTGCATTATTTCACTATGGAGTGAGTCTGGGGTGTAACGGACATCCATCAGCATGATGTCATCTGTTTATGTAATCACATATCTTATTAGATCGATGAGTTTTTTGGGGGTTTTGACACTAACTCATCCCGTTAGGTAGTGATTTACCAAACCTAGGTCTTCACCCACATTTTTACACTGAGAGTTTTTCATGGCCTCATTTTATAAATTAATAGATAATATCTTGATCTTTTCACTGCCACCAACCCACCGGATGGACATTTTCCTGTCATACTAGTGACCAAAATATCACGGTTTCCATTGGCACAGTGTTGTTAGAATATGTTGTAAAAAAACACTAATGCAAATTGAAAGTTCATCATAAGTACTAAAAGTACTAGACTTTTTACTGATCATCTTGCATTTCCTCATCAGCTAGAAAAAGGTCAACTACCAAATATCATGAGCTCCCTTGGCCATGGTTTTCACATGCTGGCAAGTTAACAATGGTGATATCACACTCTTAGCTTTCTCAAGTCTGTAGCTGTTTCCATTTATTAGGTACACAGAACTCTGTCTGAAATATGTCTGACAACTGGGTTGTTTCTGTGTGCTCAGCAATTTGGGGGTGTTTTTGAAGTTGATGATGTTTATAACTGAATTTAGCTCGACAGCAAATATTAAAAATACCTCCATGATTGGAAAGATATGTGGCTTGATGATCATTAACCAAAGTCAGGTTTGAAATAAATCCCAACTCCATCATTGAAATGGGGTGAAATGCTAGAAAAATCAGCTTCTGTGCCTGACAGGAACTTTTTTAAGTTTTATTTTTAAGCAAAATCAGACTTTGAATCTGTGTCAAACATTGAGTTATTGAGGTGCCTTCTTTTCATAGTAGCAAAGTAAAATAATATACAATAATAAGACACTGCTGAGTGAGAACAGGGAGAATTGTGGAACAGAGTAGTCAGTTTATTAGCTATACCTACCTTGTACCTATGTTAGTACTCATTGACCAACATGCAGGTGCCTTTTGTACAGTCTTCTTTTTTTCTTTGTTTTGTCTTCTTTTTTCGGCATGAATTTTTAACCTTTACAGTTGTACATGAGAGAAGTTAATCTTGTGAGAATCTTTGAGAGTGAATCAACTTTTGAGAGTGTTAACTATTATCATTATATAAGTAACTGTGCCATCCCACATGGCATATCAGATAATGACATTTAGAGAGGACTCTGATGAAGATGATGATGTTTGAATAACTAGGCCGGGGGTTTGCATCCCCACATGGGTGTGTGCCGTCCTGCAGATCACATGGTGTATGTATCAGGATTATTTCCCCCAACAGCAAAATGAAAATGTTCTGCCATAATGTGAGAGCTATGGCACTATGGCACTGCTCTCTCCAAGGCTAAAATTCAACTAGAAAGTTAACCAACACTAAATTTGGTACACATGTCTACCCACATTCTACAACAGCGCCACTTTAGTCTCTAGAGTGAGATTTTTTTATTTAAATTAAATTTGAATACTATGAAAACACCCTTCTGATGATGTCTGTTGAAGGTGGGAGGAACTTTTGAGAAACTATGAGCGCTTTGGGAAGGATACTTGAGGGCAGGTTGCATTTGTGTGATGCATGCTGGGTATTGTAGTGAAAATACATTGATACCTAGAAATAAACATATAACATTGTATCATATTTTATCAAATTGTATTGCATCTTATTGTATTGTATCATTTTTATCTCTTTATCGTGACTGGCATCTTGGATCTTTCTTTTTAAACGGTCAGATAAGGTTTGCCACTTCAAGACGAGCAAAGGAGCTAAAGCTGGAGCTACCCTTAAAGCAAGAACTAACTCTAGAGTTAACCAGTACAGCGGTGGATGATAATGACCTGTGGGCTTCTACACAATTTTTTATCTCCACAATAGATGATGTGCTAAGGTGTTGGCTTGTTTAAGTAACAGCTAAATATCTTTTCATTGAGTTTGATTGTAGCTAATGGCACCTAGAGTGGTTAACCTACAACAGCTGAAGTATCTTTACCTTTTTGATCATGCTTTTAACAACTTACCCGTGCCATATGCTTATGGTCAGGCATTTATTTTCATAGTAGCAAAAGAATAATATGATGCATTGATGTGATTGCAAGTTTGAGCAAAACAGCCACATTTTACCACCCTTTTAAAATGTAATACCATTTTTTGGCGTGCATATCGCTATTGTCGGAAGAAAACCTCTCCATTTTTGTCATTTTTCAGTTTTTGACATAATTTGAAAATGCCTATTGCCCTTTACATTGTTTGTAAATTTCATGATGAATGGACCAAAAGAAATGACCCAACATGACTTGTAAAAAAGTCTGGTTCCATTGACTTACATTAAAAGTTAAAGAGGTTTTGTTCTTCTCCTGTAAAGTTATCATTTTGGAGATACAAGTTTTTTTCCTACAACAGCAATATTTAACTTGCATGACTTTATACAATGTAGCACAATAAACACCATTGCAACTGTGCACAACTATCCATGCACATCCTTAATCTGTATCGTAAAATTTCCACATTGATTAGGGCCTAATATTAACCTATGGTCCAGACCTCCACTCATTATACACTCAGTGATGTTCATCCAGTGACTTACATAACACCACACACATACACATTCAGAGTGCATAAGCCAGCTGAAATGTCTAGTGATCAGGTTGCATGAAGCGCAAAGGTCATAGGCCATGGGCAGATGTCGAGACCCTTTCTGCTGCCAGTGACAGAACAGCAGAAATGCAGTATGAATGCCAACAAAGTGTCCTCAACCTAATGGCATCATATGGTGTTGGACTAAACTTCACCGTGTGTAGTACTGACAGTTTTAAAGCATAAAGTAAAATCATGACATCAAAGTAATATTTTGTTGCTGCTTTTTTAGCGTCATATTTGTTAGAACCGACAACACCACTTTCACTCTTGGAATTCAGATTTAATTTAGAATTCATGTATCTGTACCTTAATCAAATTTAACTCGGATTTAGCACTACTGTAAAGGACTCTGTGAGGACAAATAATCAACAGAGCCACAAACCCACACAACATTCCATAGACTATAATGGAATTTCAAGAGGAGGGTTTTCCATGGAACAAAAGATGTAACATTTGATTATAGGGAGTTGTTCTTTTCATGTGTAATGTGTTAGTACTGGCCACTGTTCAGTTCTTTCTCTCCTCAATGTCTGTTTGCTGTTAAGCTCTTCTCCTGTTGCATGGGAGAAAGTTGAGAGCTTGTTTAGTGTTTACGGCTTTCTCTCTCTCTCTGTCTGTGTGTACATGTGTGAACATTTGCGTGCGTGCACACGTGGGTCTGTGTTCTCAACTGAAACCCTGTGGGGTGTGGGTGTGTTTATATACCGTCAAAAAAATCATTTCTACTGTCCTTCATATTGGGTGTAAATGTCAATGAATAGATCAAAAGAAATGTGAAAAGTGAAATAAAATCTCTTTAGATTGGCTTCAAAGAATCAAAGAAAATCAAATGTTTTAGTTTTTTTTTTTGGACTGTGACAATATAATGAGTCATATTCACAGCTGCTTTTACATAAATTATCATTTATTCAGTGTTGATTGAAATATTACAGTCTAGACACTGGGGAACATCAAGAAATGTTTTAAATGATAAATAATAAACTGTAATAATCAATTGATGGTTATTCCTAAGATGTGATCATTGATGATTTGCCTGAGACTTGATCACCACTTTTCCAATACAAGGTGTTCTGAATATTAAGTGAATATTAATTATAATTTAATTTTCAGTGCTTTCTTTACAGCTTTTTCAGTTATTATGAAATCATTTATAGCTCTGTTCATTATTCTGCACACGTAACATTTCAGATTTTCTACAGTTTTATACAAATTAGCTGACATCTGTGATACTGTAGAGGATGAACATCATAACTGAGTCATTTTATACTTGTATCATAAACAAATTGCATTATGAAAACAGTGTTTTCTATTTTTACAGTTCAGTGTATTTTATATACATCATGTCAAAGGTAACCAAAGGTGTAAAAGATTACTTATTAGTTCCCCTCAATGCTAGTAATTACATAGAAGGTCTTAAATATTTACAGATTTGACTAATTGACTCAGTATCAGACAAAGCCTTCTTACCAGGCAGATGCTTTTTCCTCCTCTTTTTGTTTTTTCCTCAAACCTTCTCCTTCCCCAGCAGGTTGGGCAGGGTTGCTCTCACAAAGAAAATCATTACCAATCTTGTAACCTCTTGTCCCTTGTCCTCCTCCTCCTCTCTCTCTCTCTGTCTCTCTCTCTCTCTTTGTGTCTCTCTGTCTCTCTGTCTCTCTTTGTCTCTCTCTCTCTCTCTCTCTCTCTCTCTCTCCCTCTCTCTCCCTCTCTCTCTCTCTCGCCTCTCTCTCTCTCTGTGTATATCTCTCAGCCCTTCTTTACTTGTCCACTCTTCTGTCCTCTTGGTTGTTGCTGTCAGTCAGTGAGTGTCCATGTACCGGCTTCATCAACAGGCTCAAAGCACATGGCAAGTCTCAGCTGTGCTGCAGGGTCTCAGCATGAGGCAAGGGCTTCTTCCTCTAACATCCTATGAAGACAAGTGTGAAACATTTGGCTCTGTACTATGTTGTACCATCTCTTTCTCTCTCTCTCTCTCTCTCTCTCTCTCTCTCTCTCTCACTCCCTCTCTGCCATCTCTTCTACCTGTTGGCTGTAAACATGGTAATGCTTTTCATCCTCTGCCTCTGCCTGTTCCTCTGTTTTGACATTAGCTGTGCAGCTTGTGGTAATAGTTTGCTCATTGGGCCCTCCTCTCTGCCCTCCCTTTAGCTGGGGAGGAGCAAACCTCAATGAATTACCACCACAACATCCCCTCCCCACCAAACACACACACACACACACACAAACACACACACACACTGTGTGGTTGTTTTTGTACAGTTTGAGGACATAAAGTCAACTTTTTAAGCTTAAACATAAAGAGGAAAGTTCACAGATTTTTCAAAATGTCTGGAAAATTCAGTCTTTTAGATGTGAATGTTGATGATCAGAGTGGTTTGATGTGAAATGCACTGTCCTAGAGAAACTTGCGGAGTCAGAATTGTTGACAGTGGTGTCGATAGGAACCAGATGTCTTAATAGTTGAATGCCTCTAAAAGCTGCTTCACAGAAAGTTATTATATAAAAATGGATATGAATTTGATGACTGACACATTGTTTTACGGTAGTTTTAGGAGAAGGATTTAACCTAAAATGTTTTTTTAAATTTATTTTTTTTAATCTGTTTAGGGTGGAGAGGTACCTGCAGGGTGCTGTGAGGCAAAATAGTTCCCAAATATTTTTTCCAGTGTACCATTATCAATGTTGCATATAAAAACTCAGGGTTCACTGATTGTTTTGTATAGTAAATAAAACTATTTTTTTGTGTTTTGGTTCTTGTCAGCACCATTTTAAAGAAACCCAAGCCAGTATGTTTCTCAGCAATTAGCCATTTCACACCAAACCACTCTGAATAACTTTTGACATCTCAAAGACTAAATCATACATAAATTTTGACAAATCAGAAGAATTCCCCTTTAACCTCAGTAACCGAAAAGTGATAGTTTTATACTTCCAATTTTAAATAAGCGTACAGAATGTTGACCACCTCAGAGCCAGTTCTGGCCGGTTAGGCTGTAGGGTACTCCTGTTTGGTGGTTTTCCTTCAAAGTCTGAACATTTTCTCCTGAAAATGTATAAAACAAGCACACACACACCCCCTTAGATTTGAATCCTGTACCCCCCTTTGCCTCTGTTCATCCCCCTCCCCCCTACATACTCTGTTTTTGTATTCGCTGGGTTGTGACTGCTCTGCAGAGCCTTGTGGAGAACTCTATTGTGGTCTGCTGTGCTCTGTCCCTTGCCTGTGCAAAAGCCTTGGATAATAAAATAGACAGCAAAGAGGGACATAGTCTGTCTTTCAAAACAGAGTGCCTACAGCTGTGCTCTCTTAGTGCTCCAGGGATGCAACAATGTTGGTTAGGACTGTAACACTTTTTCATCTGCTTCTTAGTGTCACAGTTCGTTTTGATTTAATTACATTTTTCTTTTGTTTTTAGTGTGCTCACATTGCAAAGAATGAACCGTGACATGCAGTTGTATGCAAAAGTTTGGGCATTCCTGGTCAAATTACATGTTTTGTTTGAAATTAAATACACATCCTTTGCACGTTTTAATATACAGTTACTCCTTATTTACTAAATTTAGCATCTTGGGGAAAAAATGAAACATAAAATGTGGTCTGTACAAAAGTTATGGCACATTTTATATTTTATGTTGTATTTTCTCCAATATGTTAAATTCAGCCACTCACTATGAATACTAAATATAAATACTAAAACTAAATATAAATACTAAAATCACTATTCAAATTTTCATTTTAGGCTAACATTTCAGTGAACTGTGTAAAATGTGAAAGTTAATCATGAACAATACACCCTTGGCTCACAATAAGGCGCTCATGTTTCGAAATAACAATATATAACATGTCTTCCCTATATGGTGGGTAGTGCCTTCCCCATATGCAGTGTCATGACAGACAGGTGGCTATATCATTTCCCCAAAATAAAAAGGTGAGAAATTCGGAAAATCTTTTTGTTTTGAAAAAAGTTGAAAACGTGACGAAAGGTAATAAAGCAAAAAGTCAAAATCACGGTCTTGTCTCATCTTTCAAAGATCAAAATCAGGTGCCTGTTGGAGTGGACTTTCGATTTCGACATGAGTCTCGAATGTTGTAATGTGCTGACACCGAAATGACTCAACTCTCATTATTAAGTTCAGCTTTTTTTGGTAATGCACTTGTTTGAAAAGGCTGAAAACTGAAATATTAATTTGTCCGTTAATTGTCACTCATGTCTTGAATGTCCATCAGAAATGATTTTCTTATAAATCTCTAAATCATGAAAACCTCTAGTCCCCATCTGTCAAACACAAGGCCTAGTCCTATTCGGCCCACAAAATTATTTTAATTTTCTATTATTATTAGCCCATTTGACCCTGAGATGCACTACAGTTCCCAGCAAGCACTGCAACATGTGCGTTCCGACCCCTCTTTCCCAAAAACAATCTATGGGCCAGCGGTTACACAGAAAGAAATATGCCTGGTGTCTAGTTCAAGCAAACAGGCAGTTTAAAAAAACTACCTAAAACATTTATTTAGAATTTGTTCTGGATAAGTATTTAATGTCTGTTTTTCTGTCACAGTTTTAACATATTTTGAATAAACAATGGCCTGTTCGGGTCATGGCAAAATGTTAAAAGTAAAAATGAAAAATAACACTGATGACCCTTTTATTGGTTGAGTTTGACACCCTTGCTCTAGTCTGAATTCTAAATGACCTCATATGACTACTAAACTCTAAGAAATATAAACAGCTGTTGCAATTAGCCCTCATTGGAACAGCAGTGCTGTTTTCTATCTAGAAAATTGTCTCCATTTTGTTCTCCAAGCAATAGCAAAAGACGATTTTCATTGTCACTTAATGGTCTCATTAGTTCTCATTAGTGGTAAATGTTTTGGGTATCAGTCTTAATCAGGATTGGAGTTGGAGTTGAGTAATTTGGAAAATCAGTTTTGTTAATTTCACTTAGAAGTAGATGACAATTGTTGTCCAGATGGGACATGGAAAATATCATAGTACAAATCTGAGTTTATGTCACCCGCCTCCCCTATACTCGAAGACAGCTGTTGTGCTTCAAACCAACAGCTACGGCTGCTTACAACTGGTGTTCGTTTGGGGCGAACCTTGTGACTTTGCAAAGTGGTTTCTCTGTCCACATCAGCACGCTGTTCTGCACCACTTAGGATTCCACAGGGGTGAGCAGTGGGAAAGTCTGGCCGCATGTGGAATGTTCCTGTAGTCCCTGCACTGGTCAGAGCGTTGCTTTTGTCATGGGCCAGATGAGGAGCGTCCTGTGATTGTAGTGATGGTGTGTGGAAGACATTATGAAGACTTTTTCAAACTGCATTAGTTTTGCCTGGGGTGGCAGTGGTGGTAGTTCAAGTGGTCATTAGCAAGGTCCATAATTTTAATCCTATACAAATCTACAGTGTGTGTCTGTTGTTCTTGCCTGACATGTCATTCTGAAGTGGCTGAAGTTTAACTGAACATGAAGATCACTCAGTAATAGTAGTCCTGATTGAATTAACCTTACAGTGATATACATTGTGTTGTTCTTATTGTTACTAAGTTTTGTATCATGTAGCAATCTGGGCTGTCTGTTTTATCCCTTATGAATCGGTTGCTCAAATCTTCTGGCAAATCTAATCCAGTTTAAACAGTGCTTGAATGTGAAAAAAAGCAATATTGATTTGCCTGAAGGGAAACATATTGCTGCTTTTATCTCTAAGAACCTTCTGGAAATGGTACATAAATAGTAAATTACTGCTAAAGTAGGGTTGGGCAGTATAACAATAATAAGATGTAGTACCATATTTAAAAAGGAGCACAGTATTTTTAAATGATACGATGGTATTTTAAAATTATGATGCGTCAAATTCCTACTCCACATCTGAACAGCCAAATAAACACATTCCACCACAGTTATATTTTACAGAGCTTACTGTTTAGCGTGATTAGTGGTGTGGGAGCTAGAGCTGATAGAAAGAGAGGAAAAATCAAAGCCAGGGAAAACCTCATAGGAATTAAGGATGAGGTTGCTCAGCAATGGCCAAGAGCTGCAGAACCCAGAACACGTTCAATTTCAGCTTTCACTCCAGTTGCTCTAACACCAGACCCTCAGATATCCTCTAAACAGGTGTAATTTTCAGTAGTTAGCTGGAACCAAGCCTGTGGTGTGTGGCACGTTTTGGCCTGTTGACTAAGCTATCATTAAACGCTACAGTTGCTGCATTAAACACTAACAGGTTGGATTTTGGCTTTCTGTAACCTGACTTTGCTCTTTCAGGCATCAGTTTTTATCATCTACACTTGTTTTAGCAGAGCACCGGTTAGTCAGAATCAGATCTGTACTTTAGTTTGTAGCAGTGTTTGGGTCTGTAGCCATCATGTTATGATAATATTAGCCCAGAGAACATTTTGCCTTTCTGTCCCTCCATCACCAGCTGTTTGACTTCATGCCTTCAGATTTGAATCATTATCAAATGAACTTGTGTCAGTGCTTTCGTTAGCCAGAATAGAACATGTTCTGTGGTGGGCAGAGCTGTTATTATGCTAGCTAAACTAATGCTAACAACCTCCTTTCTCCTAGTTAGCAGTGTTTAGCATTTAGCAATTGTTTGATCTGGTTTGACATTTTTTGAACAATGGCTTCAAAATTGTGCACTATATTTACTTATTAATATAGTAAAGTCAACATTATACTGAGAAAGAAATGATGACAGTAGTATTTAACAGTATACAATAGTATACGATGTCTTTCACCAAGTTTTGACAGAGTTCTCTTTGAATACTCTTTTAATGCACTCGCAATCATCAGATTCATTCGCTCGGGGAAGTGGTCCGAGGCACAACTAATGCTCTATATGTTCTTCTGCAAATTGCGTACAATTACACATTTCCACCAGAGAGGTCTCCAAATCCCCAAATCTTACTTGGTGTAGCTTTAATGTATCCCAACACATGAATCAACAAAGTAAAAGGTCAGTTTTGATTTCAGGTTTGATTTAGCACACTTTACCTCCGTGCACACATACATTCAAGACTATGCATCTATGCCATATATTCAACACTTATTTTGTACTGCAGCAGTTTTGTATTTTGCATTGCTAAGTATATTGTATTGATATGGACTT